TTCGTGATGGAGGAAGGCAGGCGGGCGAAAGGCACCGGGGAGTTCACGCAGCTCCTCAACTCCCTCTGCACGGCCATCAAAGCCATCTCCACCGCTGTCCGTAAAGCGGGCATCGCCAACCTGTAAGTCCTGGGATGGCGGGATCCTGCCACCCCCCCGGGCTGGGGGTGGTGGGGGTGGGGATGTGGGGGGTGTCACCTGAAAGGCGTGTGAGTGGTGTTGCGTCCACCCCCCCGCCTCACATAGAGCTGTGAGTAACAACTTTAGCATCTTGGATTCTTGATTTTCTCAAGGGAAATGTATCCTGTGACTTTTTAATAATACGAGGCACGTGGTCGTTGGCACACGTCTGCTGCTGATACACCTTCATGCAAGCCCCCAGCAGGTTTGGGTGCTTTGAACCAGAAGACCGAATGAACAGACTGAAAGACAAAGCCTGACAAAATACGCCTGAATTACTGCTCATTGTAGTCAGTAGCTTAACCATTAACCAAAGCACCATTTTATGCTATGAGGCATTTAATCAAATTCAGTGGGGTTTTTTTCATATTGCATCATGGCAACTTGAATTTCTCTGTGAAACTTTGGATGTCTAAGGCTTTTAAAAAGAGCATTCGTTAGGAGCAGTAGTGTCTGTAGGCGGTCAGTCAGAGGGGAGTTGCTCTGGGGATGCATCAGAAGGAAATTAGTGCTCTTGAAATCTTAAATAACTGAAACCGGTTGTATGTAACTAATCCCCCTAAGTATTTTACATATTGTTGATAAGCCAAATTGTATGCTGCTCAGGGCTTTAGACATGGGCTGCTTCATTACTTAATGGAAAATGTAGTAGAGAGAAAAAGAATTTGTCTCTGCAAACCATTTAGTGGAAAATATAATAAGCATAAGGCCTCTGGCAATACAGAGTACCGTTTATTACAAAATGTATCAGAGAGCTGAAAAATTTGGTGACTGAAGTTAGTAAAATAGAAGCAACTGCAAAAGAGAATAAAAATCCTCCATGTTATGTAGATTTGAACTAATTTTCTCTGTCTTGACTTCAGACTGTATATAAAACTGTGATAGTTTTTTAATCACTATGTGCTAGCCCTTTCACGTGCCTCCTGTGTCTATCAGTAAAGACCGAGGTTTCCCATCTGTGACCTGTTTTGTAACAGTCTCAGGTCCCATTCCTTATGCATCCTAAATGTGCGTCTGTCAACAGCTGCCCACAGGTTCGATACCTGTGCTGATAGCCTTGCCTTATGATCCCCTACGGTGCATTTGACTCTCCACCAGTGCTGGGGTAACCAGCTTCAGACTTGTGAGCCTCCTTGAGCATCTCCCGCTGTGGGACTGTGTTTTATAGCCGGTGGGGGGGAATGTGAACAAGTAGGGATCGCTGGTGCCCGTTTCTTTGGATCATCTCCAGGCTCAGCTGTGTGCTCCATGCTGCCTGGCAGTGGAGATGCAGAACAGCCGGGGAAGCCACCGTCCCTTCCCAGCTGCAGGCTCCGCGCAGGGCACCCTGCTGTCCCCTCCCAGGGCTCCCCAACAGACGAGGTGTGAGAGCTGCAGCTGCTGGCTGTACAGAGTTTTTGCTATGAGGATGAGGACTTGTGCTTCCGCTTGCAAGTGTGGTGTTAAAAGTACATTGCTTTCTAAAAGCACTTCTGCGCTTGCAGAAAAACATTCAAGCCACTGTAGCAGAGAGAGAGAGAGACAGAAAAACAGATAATTAAGCCAGGTCTTTTTCTTTGTCTCATGCATTAAACTGAAGAAAGGCACTGTATTCAAAGTAGTGTGTTCAGCGTTATTACAAAAACCTGAAATACCAGTATTCAGCCTAATCAATGGGTCGCAGCTGAAGTACGTAAGAGTCATCTGAACATGTGCAGAGCTGGCTATTGTTTTTCTCTTCTCAGAGCTAAAGTTCCTCTCTCTCTGTTTTGCATGCTTTTGAAATCGCCTATCACAAGGTCTCCTGGTACTTCCTGATGCCAGACGTTTTGATTCTGATTAGCTGGCAGGGTTTTATTTGTGTTTCATATTTGTATTTCTCAGTTTTATTCCCAAGGAAATGTTTGCTACTTAAAATCAAAACTGAAAAACCCTGAACCAGAAAAATGTTGATTTATCTGTGAGCAAAGTGTTTCTACTGCAATTTGTACATTGTATTGCTAACCAGGAGCAAATTAAACAGGAAGTTATAGCATAACTACTGTTGTCAGATTCATTGTTACTTTTTAAGTGTAAGTTTTCTAATGAAGTCCTAGCTTTTAGGGTATGCAGCTATAATATCAGAGCCTAGGATTCAGGGGCAGCGTTTAAGTCTTAAAGTTAAGAGCTCATTAAATAACACAGTTACTTAATTCAGCCTTCGCAGCCTGCTCTGGCTATGTCTGCCTATAGTTTAGGGACTATTGAAAGGTGATTCCTTGTTTTGTGCTCCTCACGTTCAGTGTCTTCTGTATTTGCCACCACGGCTAATGTTAGCAGGTCTCAGCAAGAATCCACTGTACAGTAAATAAAGAAAAACAGGGTTATAGAACTGAGATATCATCTAAAAGTGCTGTTTATTTTACAAGATGTTTTACAAATACAAGATTGCCAGAAACAGGGCACTTTAGAAGACACAGTGCCCTGTTCTCACGAAATGGTCTCTCTTGTCATTGCTCTAGCTATGGAATTGCTGGCTCTACCAATGTGACAGGAGATCAAGTAAAGAAGTTGGACATCCTTTCCAATGACCTGGTGATTAACATGCTCAAGTCATCCTTCAGTACATGCGTTATCGTGTCAGAAGAAAACAAAGATGCTGTGATAGTGGAAACTGAAAAAAGGGTTAGTAGCTTTAAAGGTTCTCTCCCTGCTTGATGTCAAATCAGCCTTTACAGGTGTTTTGCTTCAGATGTGAGAAACTGAAACTGGGCTAAAAATTTCAGAAAGCATGTACTTTTCTATATTGGCAAAAGGGGGGTGGGGGTGGAGAGAGTGTCATTCAACATCTGTCCTTTCTGTTATTTCTGCTCTTGAGACTGATGTTTGTTGTTTTTCTTTTTTCCTCTGTTGTTCCTCCCCACCTTCTTTTTTTTTCCCCACCTTTTCCTAATTGTGGAGGAAACTTATTTCTTGTTTATCTCATCTGATCTCTGGAACTATGCTCTGAGTCAGTCAAGCCCCTTTGTAAAGTAGCTTTGTCAGTAGGACGCTGAGGAGCTGTTGTGTGCAGGTCAGATCTCAAGTTCTTTAATTCAGGCAAATTCTCCTTGAAGCCCATGAAAGACTTAGTAACAGTGAAACAAAAATAATTTTTACTTATTTATTATTTACTATTATTTATATTCACAAGTCTGTATGCACTTGTTGAGTGATAGTTCCTTTTTCCTAGCTAATATTTTGGTGTGATCATGTAAAAATGTGAGTAAAAATTTAGTGAAAACAAACAACTAAAACATAATTTGAAAAGTATAACAACATTTGCTTTGTGAAAGCAGTTCCCTCTTTCTCTCCCTGTTGAGAAATCTTCAAAATTGATTTTATAGGCATTGGATGAACAAAGATTGCTTTAGATCTGAACAAATATGATTTTAGATCCTCAAAGATCACTGAAGGAGGCTCGGTGTTAATGATTTTCTAAACTAAATGTGAGCTAATATGGTGTTTTTACCAGAATTCCTACCTGCAGGGTAGAGCATTGCTGGACTTAAGTAAGTTTCTGTCATGCAGGGTGAAATCAAACGAAAAGCGAATACACATTTACTGTTGTTATACACAATTATTAAAATGACTGTGGATAAAATAAGGGGAAAACAAGCTATTTAAAAGGCACGGTTGATTCAGCTATTTCCCCTGTACTGGCAATTTCCTGTACCTACAGAATCGTTAATACAGCAACAGGCAGCGACCGTTCTTTTTGTGGGGGGGTAGGGAAACCCCCAAAACCAGGATAAGACCAAAGACTGGCTAAGGTAATTTCTGATCATCTGTCCATTCAGAGCACAGAGTCTCATTAAGGAGTTTGAAGTGGAACATGCAGTGAAGTGCAATGTATAGTTTATGAATATCAGGTGTTAAAGGCCTTTTTAATCTCTCTAATTTTAGCTCTGCATGAAAAAGGCTGATCTTTTTCATTTGTCTTCTTCCTTATAATTCAGAAAGCTGTTTTGTTAGAGATGAGAAAGTGTAGCCTAAATGGTAGATATTACAGGATGTCTATCAAAATGGATCAGCATTAATTAAATAGATGAAGCTAAACTAATCATGAAGAAGCATTCTCTTTTTTATATATATATATTAAAGTTTGTGTA